TGCTCGAGGATGACGAGCCGACTCGCAGCAGGGCAGTAGAGAGGTTTTGCCCGGGCTTGGAAGGGGATGTCGAAGGGTGTGATGAGCAATTCTCTAAAATTTGGGCAGTTTCAACATCTGTCACTCGTTGTGAGACGCGCTTGGCGGCGCTGGCCGAAGCTGAAACGGGAGGTTGGGTAGGATAAGTTGAAGAAGATACCCTACTGCGCCCATTTGTCGTGGCAGAGTCGATCGACGTTGCTTCGCTCTTGGGAGGAAGAGACGCAGAAAAGTCTTGCCCGCTCACGCGCCTCGTGCGGGTCTCTGCCACTGGAGAAAGGCTGACTGTGGCAGAGATGGACAAGCTCTGAATGTCGAAGCGAGGATCCGCAATGCGGACCGCATGACCTGGTTGGGAGAGGATGTGCATGCCAGGCATGGGCTCGCAGCGGCCAGTTTGGTCGCCGCTCGCCATGCTGAAAGGAGTCGATTTGGTGGTGTGTGGGAATGGCAAGGAGCGTTGCTGTGTTTCTTGGTGAGGATGCTAGTGGAGCGAGCGGCGCACAGTACAGAGCACCACGATCCACACGAGACTGTTGAGACAGGACAGGGCAGTGCAGGAACTGTCCGTGTTGTGTCTACTCGACCTTGAGCCTGACCATGGCGTGGCAGCTTTGCTTGCTTGCGGGACTTGACAGTCAGCTCCTCCGTGTGTGTATCCGAGCAGCGCCAAAAGCAACGAGCAGACAAGTCTTGCGCGTCTGCTCTTTTCCCTTAATGACGGCGGTACCTCAAGGAAGCGGACCCGTGCGGACCGATACAAAGACCCCGTCCGGACGTTGGCGTCGGGTGTAAAGGGCGAGAGGACTTTATGAGAACAAGAAATTGGAGGGATGGCGTAAAGAGGGAAGAGCCGCAGACGGACCTGACGAGCGGACGTGCCGTCTGTGTTTTATTGCCACGCCACGCCTCCCCAACACTCTTCGAGCTTCAACTGAGGAGGGTACAATGTGAGTGTGAGAGTGGACACCGTCCGTTGGTGCGCTTCGTGGGACTGTGACTCTGTAGGTGACTGGGTCCGAGATCACCTACCCTGCAGGAATGCTTCTGCTGCTGCGTCCTCACCAGCTGTGACTGACTCACCACTCACTGTAGGTACCGGTACTGGTTTGGTAGGTACAGATGCAGTCACCAGACGAGTCTAAAGTCGGTACCGGTACAGGTGCAGCCTAAGCCAATGAGTAGTCTGAGTGTACACCATCCAGCACCGCGCCTATATGCAGGGGCTTGCCGTCACAGAAATGAGATGACGCTTGCGCGTGAGGCTGTGTCGCGCGACGCGCTGCGCGGGACCTCGCCTCGCCAGAGGTGATCACGTGCCCCCTGCTTGCCGAGCGCGACGTCGATCCGAATTCGAGGCGGCAGCAGATACCTAAGATCCACGGTCAGTGGGTGATTCGTCATGGCATACG